GAGAAGAGGACAACAAACGAGGGGCTGTAACAAACTGTTTTGTCGGAGTTTCACCGACTCATCAGGAGGCTGAAACCTACATATATTGTCAAACAGCGCTGCCTGGTAAACCGTAGGCAGAGAAGGAGAAGAGGACAACAAACGACGGGCAGGTGGGCACCAACCTCTGCCCTCAATACATGTGTATATATAGACATATATATATATTGTCACATATATAGACATTATATATATAGACATATATATATAGTCACATGATATCAGAGCGCCAAAGCGAAAAACAGAAACAAGAAAAACTTGATTCATTTTTAATCTTCTTCCTTACAACTGCCCCTGTTCAGAACCTCTTGCGTACAAGGCCGCCCACGTGGATGTAGGTTGAGCGGCGGCTGCCCCCACCCCCGTGTATCACATCAACCCACTTGCACACAGCCAAAAGGCAAAGAGGCAAAGAAGAGAGGAAGGGAACAGCCAAATAAAACAGAACAGGGGGCAACAAAACAGATCCCAGATGACAAGTCCCACATGCAAGCACCCCCCTTGCCCACAGGCCAAACGACGGGACAAGACCAACCAGGATGTCAAAACATTCTTGTCTGCAAAGAAATCAAAAAAAGTACCACAAATAACCCATCCCGGATGACGATTCCCACATACAAGCACCGCCCCGCGCTCAAAAGGCCGAACAACGGGAAACAACCAACCAGGATGCCAAGACAATAAAAAAAAGAACGGATGACTGGTCCCACATGAAGCACCGCTACCTGCTGCAAAATAGACCGAATAATGGGACAAAACCAACCGGGATGCAGACAAGATTACCACAACAAAACAAAATACCCCAACAACAGGGAAAATTACATAAAAAATGGGATGTGTCATTCAGTTTGTTTGACAAATACGCCTTCCTTCCCTTGTCCTTTCTCTAATGTTTTCTTAAATACGACAACAAATCTACCATATCCATAATAAAAAAACGGAACCATACAGTAGGCCCGCAACACGAAATACCCCAGCAACGGGGAAAAAGTAAAGGAAAAGAAACAAGAAAAGGAGGAATGACAAGAACAAATGTAAAAAATATTTTCTACCATAACAAAAGCAAAGCCTGCTAGTACAGGCCCGACGCTCGCCGCATCATCTGCAAAAGCAGAGAGCTAGCAACGTCGGAGTATATATTGTCACATGATATCAGAGCGCCAAAGCGAAAAACAGAAACAAGAAAAACTTAATTCATTTTTAATGTCACATATATAGTCACACTGGAAATCAGAGCGCAAAGGCGGAAAAAGACAGAACAAGAAAAAGAAGGAAGGAAAGCCCCACCTGTTCGTCACCTCTTACGTACAAGGCCAGCGACGTGGATGACAGGTTGAGCGCTGGCTGCCCCCATCCCCGTGTGTCACAAAGAACCACTTGCACGCAGCCAAAAGGCAAAGAGGTAAAGAAAAGGCGGAGGAAACCAAACCTCACAGAAGAAGAAAGCCTATTAAACAGACGAAGCAAGTGACACATCCCACAGATAATCCAATTACCATCCCACAGAACATATTTTTCTTTTTTCTTTTTTCTCAGGTTTCTTTTTTTGTGTTTTTCCTTCCTTGGTTTCTTTTTCTATTTATTTATTTTTTATCTTTTTACTCGGTTTCTTTTTTTATCTGTTTCTTCTACACTTCATCTGTCACCCCCTCGGCAGATAGTACAACTACGGTGAGGATGACGGGGATGTTCACAGGGATACCCAAGGAGAGTTGCACTAGTACAGCATTCAGCCGGACGGCTAGCACGAACCATCCCATCGAAACAATCCCGACAGACGACATGTTGCCCACATGTCAAGAAAACAGCAGGACGTTCATCACAGTGCGGCATCATGCAGTTCTGATAGCGTCCTTGGGAACAGAAAGGACAACGTACATCTGGATGATAGGGATGTGCACAATGAGGAAATGTTAGACACCCTTCCTCACATAAGGCGGCAGTCGCAATGGATTGATAATGGTGCTGACACAGATAATGCATTCCACAACCAAGACGCACCACGTCTCTATCCCGACAAATGTCGCACGAGAGACGCTCAACAATCCAGAAAAGTGTATGATTCGACAAACCTCGCAAGAATTCATTTATGTTGACAATAACCTGAATCACCGTCCCACCATCCCACAGTTCCCACTGGGCAGCTGGACGAATGAGTGCCATATAGTGCCCGGGTTTGTGCAAAATGCATGCAGAAATATGAGGACGGGCATTAAGGTCCTCGCCTGGCATCCCATAATGCATGAGAAGGTGGCGACCGTGGAATGCTAACTGTAAGACATTTATAGTAAAGCCTCCTGAGGTAGTATAATTACTATCCTCAGGAGGTAGACCATTACGGTCATACAACAACTCATTTTCAACAGCGTCAAGCTGATAAGCAATTGTAAGAAATTGAGATACAGTATAACCTTGA